AGGTAGTTGTAAAAAGAAAAATTAATATCAGAGAAAACAATAAAAGAATAAAATATTTTTCAAGAAATAGAAACATCTTCAAAATGCAAATGAGGTGGTAGCTTCCCCAAAATAAGAATAGACTACTAGAAAAATAATCCAGTAGAGAGATTCAGAAAATGAAAACCTCCTGAGTAGCCAAGAGCAGACTTTTTATCTAAAAGGAAAGGCTAAATATTTCTTCTAGACTGCAGATCAAAAAGATAGAGGTAGAACACATGTAAGAGAAATTAGGAAAAAGAGAATTCAGATCCAGAAGTTCCAGGATCAGTCTTCTTTATCTGAAGAAAGGCACAAAAGAAAAATAAGAGAAGAAACTAAAAAACAGAAGAAACATGGAGACATGAGAGTCCATGGAGTACTTTGATCCACTAAGTTCAAAGTAGGATGAGTGGAAATAGAGTCACATTTCTACCATCTTTAAGTGTAAAATGCCAAGAATAAAGTAAAAAATCCTTTAAAATTGCACAGATAAACATTCACGAAGAGAAACATCATTACGTACAGTAGTAGTAGAATTAAACAGACATCTCACTTCCTATTAGCAATACTGGATACTTAGGGGCAGTATCTTCACATGAAGGGAAGAGCCAACCCTCTTTTATTAAAACACACTGAACTTTTTATTCAGAACTTTCCCATAAAGAAAGATCCTAGTCCAGATGACTTCAGTGATGAATTCTATCCAATATTTAATATCCTTTTTGAAAACAGGTGGAAGAAACACTTCTAACTTACTTTACAAAGACAGAAGAATACTGATATCAAAATTTGACAAAGCCATGGCAGGCATAAAAAAAATTTAAACAACAGAGAGATACACAGCAGTATGTCTCATGAACATAAACGTAAAAGTCCTTAGCACAGCCTCTGTTATGAGTTCATTTGTGCCTCTTGCTCTTGAAAATATGTGTTGAAGCCATAACCCCTAGTATCTATGAATTTGTTCTTATTTATGTAAATAGGGTCTTTGCAGATGATCTTAAAATGAGCTCATCATCAGGATGTGCTCTAATCCATTGACTGATCTCCTTGTAAGAAGAGGGAGATCTGGATACAGATACGTACACACAAACAATGGAGGCAGAGATTGGAGCGACATCATTGCAAGCCAAAAAAACACTGGTTACCAATGTCTTCCAGGAGCCAGGTAGTGGCAAGGAGAGGTCAGCACCTAGAACCTTCAGAAAGAGCATGGCCACGTGTGCACCTTGATTTCACACTCAAGCCTGTAAGGAATGAATGCCTGGTTTGATCCAATCCAAGTTGTAATGCTTTGTTACAGCAACCTTAGGAAACTAATACAGCCTCTAAGACATATACTGAAAAGCTGACTATATTTCTGTATGACAACAAAACTGAAAACTAAAAGAGAAATGAGCAAATGTTTGCCATATATACAATAAAGGAGTAGCACTTAACAAAATACTAAAAACTCCCACAAGCCAGTAAAAGACCATGAGTAGACATTTCACTAAAGAAAAAAATACAAATGGTTAACACATATGTGAAAAGATCTTTAACCACACTCAATACAAAATAAAATATAATGTGTTCTACACATTCTGCAAACGCTTTTTTAAAAAATTTTTTTGGTTTTCTTTTGCAGGGTTTTGAGGGGTGGGTTAGGGAGATTAATGCTGTTCATTTTTGGTAGGCCTGTGTGTAAAAAGGTAGTCACATATGATCATTGATAGTACAACTGGTATACAATTAGTCTAGAGGCTAATTGAACCATTTTAAAATTTATAGCACCTTCTCCATACCAACTGGACCAAAATGCTTCTGTATATGCATAGGAAAGGATGACAAAGGTTTATATTCAGCATTGTTAGTGTTTGTTTAAAAATTAAACAGGAGACAGCCTGAGTATAGAATGATAACAAATTCTGACATACCAATATTATGGAGTACTCTGCAACAGAAAAAAAGAAATTATGAAATCAGTCAGATCAAATGTACTGATGGGACAAAACCTCTGAGATATTTTCATGTGAATCAGAAACAATTTGAAGAACAATATGTACAGTCTATCAGTTGCATTTGTGCAAAAGACTTTGTATGTATATATAAATAGCTGTAACTGTACTGATGGTAGAGGTTTAGAAGGGTACACATAAACCCTTGGACTCTGATAAGGGGAGATATGCTGTTCAAGGGACATTTCACTTTGGTGTGTTTGCTTCTGTTGTGATAAGGCATTCAGATATTTTATACTTTTAGAAATAACATCGTTTATATAGCAACTGTGCTCTGTTGAGTTTGGAACATTATATAAAGTCTAAAGTTTGGCATTCAGAAAAATGTGTCACACATGGATACACATATTTAGATGTATTTATAGAAGAATTGCAAGAACAGCACAGAGAAACCCCAGATTCCCCAGTTGGTAACATTTTACATGTTTTCTTTCAGCCATTATCTTTTTCCTTTTTCTGAGCCATTTGAGAGAATATCATAGATTTATCACAAGTGTGTATTTTCTCAAAACAAGGACACTGTCCTGTTTATATATCATATAAAAATAATAGTTTTAGCTGTGTGTGGTAGTGCACACCTATAATCCCAGCACTCTGAGAGAGAAGCCTGGGCAACTTAATGAGACCCTTTCTCAAAATTAAAAAAAAAAGGCTGGGGGACATGCCTCAGTGCAAAGACCCTGGGTTCAATCCCCAGTACCCCGAAATTAAGGCTTTGAGAGGTACATCTGGATCCATGCCATAATAGTTCCTGTCTGAGTTAGTTATCATGATGGTCGTCAGGTGTGATTTTTCTATTTCCATTACTTCCTTTTTTGTTCATTGGCATTCTACCACCAAAAAAAAGAAGTTTTCCTTTTTATTTATTTAATCTGTGTGGACTCCTGGGTTCCTATTTTATCAACATTATAACCCATTGAATATCACTATTAATTTTGGGTTTCAAATTGTCTCATTTGGCCAGTGGGAGACCCTTCATGGTCACTAGTTATGTGGTTCTGACATGATCCATCTTTTTTTTTTTTGCACTTCTTTACTTTGGTAGGCTGAATAATGGTCCCCCCAGAGGTATGCATATGAATAGCCTCATCCATGTATAGTATCTGGGTGGGCCAAAGGTCCTTATAAAGAAGAGACTGTAGGGTCAGAGAAAAGAGATGAAGATGTAAAGGCAGAAGCAGAGGATCTGAAAGAAAGGTGGAATATGTCATAGTATTGGCCTTCAAGATGGAAGAAAGGGCCTTGAACTTAACATGAGGAACATTCTTTATGTTTTCTTTTTACTTCTTTTTCTTCTTTGTCTTTCCTGTTGTTATGATGAAATTCAAACATTTGAATTCAAACACGACTAGCCTACTGATAAAAGCACTTGGTTCTCACTTTTAATGAGAAAAAAAACTTAGTTTCAGTACAAAATAATGAGCTTTTTATAAATGTTGTGATAAAATTTTATTAGGAAACTTATAATGTCACATTAAGGCTTCCAAATTACCTTGGTAATTATTGTTAATAGACCTCCAGTCTGACAATATCAGTGTGGAAGGCAGTCAGTAGCAAGCGTAAAATAGAAAACTGGGCCATCAATTGCAGTTGTGTTCTCATATTCCCAGGATTAAATCCCATGTTCCTGGGAACATTGATACTAAACTGATCAAGTTGCTGTGTTGTTACATAACTTTTTCAAACTAAGCTCCTGACTGTTCTTTTTTTTTTTTTGGTGCCGGGGATCGAACTCAGGTTCTTGCGCTTGCGCAGCAGGCGGCGAGACCACTGAGCTAAATCCCCAGCCCTCCTGACTGTTCTTTTAAGAGAGCTATCTTGTAGGTGAGAAATTGTTAAGAGCATGTATTTGATTCAGCCAAACCCAACTACAAATTTTAGAATTGGCATTTCTTAGCTGGCACAGGTAGGTAAGTCATTTTTCTAAAGTTGTTTTTTATTTCTAAAATGGAGAAATTCCAGTTTTATTATTTCTGAAATGGAGACCATATCTTATAAAGCTACAAGGATTAAATGAGAGAATGTAAATAAAATCTTACACATGTAGTTATTTCATAAATGACAGTTATTAATAATAAGAATTTAAAGACTGGAAATGTAGTTGCTTACAGTGCTTGCTAAGCATGTGTGAGGCCCTAGGTTCAATCTCTTGGAACATACAGACACACAAACACACACAAAAAAAAGTTTAGTTGATTAGAGGAACTTATTACAGTACAAATAAACTGATGATAATCAAAATAGTTGTGTCACTTTTTAACTACTTTCATTGACAATAGATTAAAGTTATTTTCCATTCTGTGTATTTTTTCTTGCAGACATTTTAAAGTGTATAGGTGGTTAAGCAGATTGTGTTTTAATTTTACATATTTACGTCTAGTAAAATATCCAGCAAATAGAGTGCACATTAATGTTGACACAAAGATGGTATATTTCCTGAAGTGTCCTGTGTCAGTGTTCTTTCTCATACTCGAAATTGTTTCAAAGATGCAGCATTTCTATACAGACCTAAGGCTTTTGCTGTTAAATAACAATGTAATTAGGTACAATTAGTTTGACATCAACATGGCTATCATATAGTACTTACTTTGGAGTATAATTTAACTTTATTATGGTGATTATTTCTTCCATTTTTAAGTTTCTATTTCAATGAGCTGAAGAAGAAAAGTGTATTCAAGTATACACTTTCATTATTAAACATTTTGTCAGGTGGATATTCCATAGAAATGTAACCTTGACTTAGTCATTAGTAAACAGATAGAATAGGAAATATAAGATCTCTACTTCAGTAAGACTGGCCAGATTATTGTTATATTTCACCATAATAGCAACTTCTGCCAGGGAAGTTAAAACAAAATTTCCTCCCTAAGGAGATCTCAGCCTGCTCCAGTTAAAGCTGTGTGTATACAGGGAATGCCAGGAAATTCTGACATATTGTTGGAACAAACACTTCAAAAATATCTTGTGTTTTTTCTGTTTTAGCAACTTCACTGTGTGGTGGTTGGAAGTGAAAATGCCAAGCGATACTTTGAAGCAGTTCAAGGATCAAAAGAGCATCGAGGAGAGCTTTTTGGGATCTATAACCTCTTTACACTAAGATCCCAAGGATCTTGTCTTACAAGAGACATCTTGGAGGTGTGAAATTGTTCTCTGACCTTTTCAATGTGTTTTAATACAGTTTTATCTCCCAGGAAGCTTGAAACACAATTATTGGTGGCTTTTCAAAGAAATTTTTAGTTTTCCTTATCAAAAATGCCTATCCTTAGACATTTTTCTTTTAAAGAAATAGCAAATGAGTTATTGTACCTCTAAACTAAGGTTTTCCTATACACGGTTATAAATAATGCACACATACATACAGATACATATATGAGATAATATGATCTCCAAAGCCATTTTCAGACTTGCAGAGGAAGGTTTATTGTTTTGAAAACAGCTGTTAAAGTCAAGAACTCAAAAAAAATCCTAAATAAACAATAATGTTTTGATTAAAAGTTACCAAATACTCCCTAGGTTGTACTCTCATGTCTCATAGAAATATTTGTTTTCTGTTCCCAATAAAAATTCCGCACTAATATTTTACGCTCTTCCATTGTGTTCATCCTCAACATTCAGATGTTTCTTATTCTTCAAATGAAATATTAATATCTTTTTGAAAAATCTTTAAATTCTTTACTATACCAGAGTACTAAGGATATTAACTATTTTTCAAATTGACATTAATATGGTTTTATGAAATCCTAGAATAATCCTCCTTTCAGTTTCCTTATAATATAGAAGAGAAAACTGAATCCGGGAAAGTATCAGCCTATTTCCCTCAACTTCCAGAACTTTGTAGTAAATCTTAATGTATTTCATTTAATAAGCACCATACAGAAATTTTAAGAAAAAATTGATCCTTGTACTTGAAGAATTTAGACCATCTTGATGGGAGATGGAAGAGGATATTTACATAATGAACAAACAACATTAGGATTATTATGCTTAGCAAGTTCAGTAGTAGTTCAAAATGGCCACCAATTGATGAGAAAGAAGAAGGTGTACATTATTTGTATCCTGGAAACATTTGAACTGTTACACAGTATGTGATGTCTGCTGCTGAGTTTTTATTTTATACTAAGTACAACATTTGATCCTGAATTGGAAAGCCAAAGGAAGGGGACAAATAAGAACAAGAGATGAGGCGAGAGAGATGGAGAGAGCTGGGCCATGCAAGAATTTTGACTTTTGCTTTGAATGAAATAAAAGCAACTGGAGAGTTACAAAGAGAAGACATAACTTTATTTACATTAGCTTCACTATTAAGAATTAGACTATAGAAGTCTAATAGAATTTGATTACCAGAGGGCAGAAGCAAGAAACCATTTAGGAGGAAACTGCAGTGATGATGATGGTGGCTTAGGCCTGGGTGATGGTAGCAGATTGCATGAGATTGGTATTTGCTAATGAATCATGTACAGGATATGACAGAAAAAGAAGAGTTATGAATGGCACCAAGGTAGTTATACTGAGCAACTGAAAACAAGTTGTCATTTTCCTACCACAAAGGAGTTCCCCCAACTGGAGGATTTCTAGTCCTGCCCAATGCACCTGTTATTACCATTTGAAGAAGAAAGTGGCAGTGGTAGGATGAGGTTCCTGTCTCCTCACAGTAATAGCCTCTAAACATGTGTCAAAGGACCTGTTCTTCTCTGGAGATTTGTAGGAGACACTTGTTACCCTGGATACCAAGTGGCTAGCACAATCTGTGGTGTGTCTGTGTATACGTAAGTTAGGCACTTATAACTTTGGTCATGGCAGTATTATTTCCCTTTATTCTACTGGTATTAACTGATACAGCCTTAGAAAGACTGGATTTCCTTTTGAAGGAAAATTTAATATTCTAATATTTAAGCTATTTATACCAAAGGCTTGAAAGTGCAAATACTTTTCCAAAAGTTGTAACAAGCTGTTATATAATTAAGATAGTGTTTTTAGTTTCATATTAGGATAGACCTTTTCATTTTTGTGTCTACTAAGGGCTTCATAAATATATTTTTTAACAAATATGAATGGTATATATACCAGTGATTAGGTTACATTTCAGTTTTTCAATGTTTAGCATTGTCTCTGGTGTTTGAAATGTTGCTAATATGTCCTTACCAAATTATTACATAAGAATGAGTAATATGGATACAATTCTTGGGTAAATAAATATAATTTTTTCACTCCTCTGCCTCTCCTACTAGTGCCTGTAATACGAAGTACTATTAGCCAGGGATTTAGCTCAGTGGTTCTGGCACCTGCCTCGAAAGCTCAAGGTCCTGGAGTTCGATCCCCGGTACCAAAAAAAAAGAATGCTAAATCAAGCTGCACTCAGTTTTCCTTTTATAGTGCCAAGATTTAACAAGCCATTGCTGTTGTTTGGTTGTTTTTATCTCTCGTCCCCGTTTTACACAGTTATTTGCATTTTTTCTTACTGACATAGAGAGAAGGCCAAGTAGAAGCAGGGATCATGACAGCCACAACATGGTTGAAAGAAGGACCTCCAGCACAGGAACTAGAAACAGTAAGTCATGTTTGGGTGTGTAGCCCATCGTGCCTGGAAAACATCTATTCTGACAATTCTAAGTTTCTTTTCCTTTTTCTTCCATTTCTCACTGGGTAAAAGAAAAACAATCTTTTTTTTTAAGTCCTTTTAAAATATCAAAGTGTTCTCACTTTGTGTCCTCTCATTAATAATTTATGCTAATTTAATATCCATATTGTAAGAAAAAATTCAGGAGCAACCATTAGGTATTTATATCTTAACTACACTTTTAACTGCATCAAACTCTAAATCAGAAATTAAATGCACTGTGTAGATGACCAGCCCAACTCAAATAACTTTTTACTACCAGGTAAATTAAATGGAAAAATAGCCATTGTTGTATACACTCATTATCTGAATCAAAGTAGATGTTGTATTTCATTTGAGTCCTTGATCTTGTAATATTCAGTAGCTGCTCACCTTACATACCACAAGATGTATGTTGTCATCCTAAGGTCATTTTAGAGGTAAAAAATGTGTGGAAGGTTTTTGTTATTATTACCAGTTTTTTCTTTTCTTCTTTTTTTTTTTTTTAAGAGATTGTCTTAATTGCTTTTTTTTACTGCTGCAACAAAAACCCCAACAACTGAGGTTAAGGGAGGAAAGGTTTATTTCAGCTCACAGTTTGTAGACATTTTAGTTCATAATCAGCTGGCTCTAAAGGTTGGCATAGTAGAGGGGCATCGCAGAACAAGCAGAATGCAGCAGAAGACAAACAGCAGCAGCAGCAGCAAGGTACAAGTGACCACAGCAACCCTCTTTTTGACCCTTATATTTTACCCTAAGGGCAGGTAGCATTCACACCCAGGGTGGGGCACCCTTAATCCCAGCATCACAATTTAAGTCTGAAAAAAACCCCACCTATGACTGCATGAGGCTTGGGGGCGGGGGCATCTAGACACAAGCCATAACAGAAATTTACCTATAAATTTATTCCAGCCCAGTCATCTTGAATTTGAAGTGAAGATTTTTTTTAAAATTTACAGAAATATATGAATATCAAATGTTGGCAGAAATATCACTAGATAACACTTTCCAAAGTTTTTTTTTTGCTTTTTGTTTTTTGGGTTTTTTTTACAAATAAAGCCTCAGTTATAGGAAACTGAAGGATGTATTTTACTCTGATTAATGTGAAAAGCTTAAATATCGGGCTTAAAGATATAGCAAATTTTACTTCAAAATTTTATTTTCTAGTGATTAAGATCCTATTGGACTTATTTTCAGTGAATTTGATCCATTCTGGAGCTGTAAATTCTTTACTTTGTTAACTTATAAATTTGTTCTTCAAGCATGATTGGAATTATCTGCTGGACCCAGTAAATCTCAGTAATTTTTAAGCAATGAGTAGCATGCTTTTCACTTCTAAGGCTAGAATTGTGGGTCCCTACATCTTACAAGCTGACTACCTCACTCTGTTTTCCTTGAAAATGATTTGATCATGCAGTACTCTAGATTGAACTTCTATTTATTTTGGAAGGAGACACAACTGTACCAGATTCTAATATTAAATCCTTTATATTCATTATAAATGTACTTGTAGGAAACACCGAGTACTTGTACCTAAACTATCTGACCAAAATCAATTTCCTTCCAGTGTGATAGTTACATTATCATGTTTTCTTCTGTTTCTGTCATTGCTTCTTACATAGCCCAAAGAGTCTGACTGTCAAGAACCCAGAGGACATCAAGGACCGACAGCAGGGAGTGATCTCTGCAGTGACCTTAGTGATAATGAATCTGTGGGAACCCCAACAATAAAGACCACTAAACACAGAGCATCTGACTCAAGCAAAGCCTCCGCATCTTCAGGACAGCTTACCTTATTCCAGTGTGGTTTCTCGAAATTATTTGAGGCAACATTTAAAGCAGTTGAGGGGAGCAATGGACACTCTGCCTCTGGGGAGGACAGTTTGGACGAGCAGCCCACGTGCCTCACCACAGAAGCCAGAGACACCGGCTGCCAGCAGACTCAGGATATTGTTGGTACTTCAGAACATCAGCAACCAGATAGCACACCAAGTCCCAATGAAAAATGTGTTTTTGATAAAAGAGAGATTTTAGGACAGAATGTTTCTTCTGAGTCTGATGATGAGAAAAATGTTAAAACTACAGCTGGACATCATTGCATTTTACAGAACGGCACAGAATCAGAAGATAGTGATGTCATTTTTCCCACACAGTACACAACTCAGAGGGTCCCCAACAATCGTATAAGGCTTAAGCTACCCTTAAATGGATCTGAAGATTATCATACAGAAAACCCTATAAAAATAAGAAATAACAATGATGGTAGAAAGATTGATGAGGGAGGAAATGGATTAATTTCAAAAAATTTAAGTGCTGAAGGCATGACCCTGAAGTCTATGATGAAAAGAAAAAGCACTGGTGATATTAGTGATGAATCAGATGACATTGACATTTCCCCCAAGTCAAGAGTAAGAAGGCAAAGAGCTACTAGTTCTTTGAAGTTTAAGAGAAAAAAGGAAAAAAGGGAACTTTACAGTTTCCCCAAAACATTGAAGAAAATAAACCCATTCTGTTTAGCAAATGAACATTGTAACTCTCAGCTTATTGATGAATTTTCATCCTCAGATGATTTATCTGCCCGCCACCTCTATTTCTCTAAACAAAGTCATAGAGCAAAAACTATAAAACACAGAAACAGTTTCTCTTCAAAATTACATAGCTGTGATAAGAAAAATAGCACCTTCATACCAAGAAAACCAGTGAAATTTTCAAATGAGAGAGTTGTCCATCAGGAACAGATATATGAATCAATGGATAAGCTTTTAGGTAACTACAGACACACTCTAAAACTGTTCTCTGAATGATAGTTTGGTGCATTTAATAGGTCTGTGAAAGATTATTGAATTGGCTTGTAAAATAGCTCTATAATCAAGATGTTATATTGAGGTACAAATAAAGAAGCGGTTAGGTGGAAGATAAAGGGAAGACCAGCCAGATCATGTTAGAGAAGCCTTGCCATGTACCCCAGAATTCTCTGCATGTGTCAGGTCCTAATCACAGCCTTTCTGCCCAATAAATACCAGTCATTCCAAATTCAATAGTATAACCTATTTACATTGTTAATGGTTTAATCACACAAATGTGCATCCCTAGATATTATAGTTTAGTCAGATCTCATGTTTTAAAATTTTACATAGTCTGTTTAATTCATAGGAATCCTCCTCCATCTCTTTCGAACTTGGGTACTTGCACTTGCGAGACAGGCGGCGGCACCACTGAGCTAAATCCCTGGCCTTACAGTTTACCTCTTGAAGTACCTGGGCCATCTACAATGTTTTCTTCAATTTGCATTTTGCCAATTATATATTTTCTGTGCACTTGAGCATGTTCCTCTGTCATCTATGTTATCTGCAAATGAGGAATAAGCTTCCAAGACTGGATCAGACTTAGGTTTATTTCCTTTGGCAAGACAAAAGCTAGTGTTAGGTAAGACTATAGGAGATTCATGGTGTGCTGCTCTCTTTTTGTAATCCTAGCAATCATGCTTAATGCCTCTGTCTTTATCTGTCTGTCTATCCATCCATCCAATGTGGTAAAATGATTCTCAGTGTCCTTAGAGAGACATTGGCCCAGGCTTTCTCAACCCTATACAGGGAAGAATGTTGTAATGTCCCTTCCAGGACTTTTTAAGGGTTAAATCTATATATGAGAACCATCTGGAAGCAGAAGCGGCCAGCATTCGGGTTGTAACTCAAGACTTTGGTCATAAGTTAAAACAAATTCTAGTCATAACCCAGGTTGTTCGTATGTTGGGTCAGTTGGAACTCAAGGGTTCACTGTAATTTCTACTACATTATATCTTAGTATTGGTTATTCTGGATCAGTATTCTCATATACACAATGTCATTTTCCCTTGGCTTTCATTTCAGGAAAGCTTTCTTGTATGGTGTTATTACTTTTTCTATTCTTTTGCTTTGGCTTTCATTTTTAAGGACTCCTATTATTCAGTGTTTGATTTACTTTGCTTGCATTCAGAATTTGCCTTAAGTCCATTTTATCTCTTTTTTCACTTCTTTTTGCTTATTAAAAATTTCCTTCTATTTCACATAAGACATTATCTTTTGTGTTCATTTCCTCTTAGTTCCTTCTACCATAGTTCAGTCTTTATTTCTGAAATAATTTTTTAAGTTCTGAGACTCTTGAGTTCCATCACTCATTTCTGAGTTTTAATTCTGGCTTACATTTCCTTTTACATTCTTATAATCAGTTATAGTTTTGATGTGTTTTGTGAACACATCTCTCTGGCTTATTTTCAATGATAGGGACTTATTATGCTGCTTATTCTTTTCTCATAATTTTTGAGATTTGACCTTGATACTTTTCTTATGCTTATTTTTACACAAAAATATTTCCTTTGCATAATAGTTAATTCCTCTGTCTTGCACACTGTGATCCCCTCCCGGCAGTTTCTCCTCTTTGTTGAGTTTTATTCTGGACAGGAGCCCTGGTGAGTGAGTTTGGGGAGTTCCTAGAAGGTAGTGTGCTCCAATTCCCCAGGTCTTCTTCCTGCAGCCTCCCAATCCCCTCAATGCTGGCGAGCAAGACAGATTCATCTGCTGACCTCTGGCTGGCATGGCGTGCTTTCCAACAAATACCTATGACTGTCCTAGGGTACCTTGTTCTTAGGTCCATCAGGTGCCATTCTGGTGCTTCCTTCTCCTTCACACAGACCCTGATACCATGCAGAGCTTGTACTTCTTGGTGGGTTGTCCCTGCCTGCTTGTGTTTTAGGGCTCTTGGAGTTATCATCTCATCTAATTTGGGGGGGGGGTACAGGGGATCGAACTCAGATCCTTGCACTTGTGAGGCGGCGGCAGAACCACTGAGGTAAATCTCCAGCCCTTCTCATCTAATTTTACTGTGATGTTGTGCATGGATTTTTGGTTTTGCTGTTCTGGTACTGTTTTCAAGTGGGGATTCAGAGAGATTGAACAACTGCTTCTCTGGCCACCAATCTCTGTCCAGAATCTGTTTAATGATTTTTCTTTTTCCTTCCTGGGTACCAGGGATTGAACTCAGGACCTTGAGCTTGCCAGGCAGGTATTGTGCTGCTGAGCTACATCCCTGGCCCCTCTTTAGTGCTTTTTAAGAGTTAGTATTACTTCCAGTGCCTGGCTTATTCCCAAAAGACTATTTGAAGGAAGCTAATATAAAAGCAGAGATATTTTTTCATTGTTCTGTTTGACTTATTTATACATCAGGCTTGCTTTTATTGTCAGTCTCATTTAAAAGTTCATTGCAATACATATTTTGGTACCATTGTAACAAAGTACTGGGTTATCCTTTGCTTGTGCTACAATGAGATTTTAGGTCTGAGGAATTATTGTACAAACTATGTTTTAAACAATTAGTTGATTTGGGGGTTTTTTCTGGCAAAAGATGACAATATTTTGAAACTAATGCTATTTTGAATAATGCATAAAATGTGCCATAAAAATGAAGAAAAATCGGAGTAAATTTTCTAGCAGAAGAATCCTTTTGAGAGTTTTGAAATTGTGCCACACATACTATCTAAAGTTTGAAATTTAAGACAAATGTTTTCCTAGTTCTTGTAATCTCATTATGTAACAGTGGCTTGTACTTCATGATTGGCCCTTTCCGGTTGAGAGCTTCAGAGCTGAACCAGCCCAAGTGCTAGAGATCATGATTGAGGTGCATTGCCAGCACTGTTTGAGGGAGCTTTGACAGGTTTCATGGCTAGCCTTCTCTTTTATGACCACAATTTTAAAATAATTTATAGTCACCTAAAAGCAAAGCAATAAAAAAAGAACAGCCATTTTTAAAATCTCTTTTGGGTAAAAGCCATGAGTTAATTTTTTTTTCATTTCCTAAAGAGCTCCCATCTTGACATTCTCTGGGCATATATATAAAAAAAAGACACAATGCAAATAATAAAACTGAACAGAGCCAACACAAAGGAACCCCCTGGTCACCAGCCTACACTCCCATTCCGTCACTGTACACAAGGACAAATTTAAGGAACAGATAATGTCAGCATTACTCCTTTAGTTAGTAAACAACTTTTTTTTTTTTTAACTAGAGAAATTCATGGAGAGGACTCTCAACTATGACTTTCTTGTGTCCCAAGCCCCCATTTCAGGTTTAAATTTAAAGATTGTTACCTAGCAGAAGAATCTTTTGGGAGTTTTGAAATTGGTACCATACATACTACCCAGTGTTTTGAAATTTAAGGAACATGTTTTTCACCTTGCTCTTTTAATCATACTGTGTAACTGTGCTTTGTTTTGCATGATTGACATGATCAGCAGTTCTCATATTGGTGAGAGGAGAAAGTCATTTCCAAGATAGCCTAGACCAACATATTTGAAGAATATTGTGATAGTAACATAAAACTTAAATGTCTTCTTTGAGGATTAAAAATAAAGCAGTAGGGTAGGGATACAGTTCAGTGGCAGAGCACTTACCTCTCTTGCACAAGGCCCTGGGTTCAATCCCCAGCACTGCCAAACAAAATCCTTTAAAAAATATTTCATCATCAAAATTGAAGCACAGATAACCTATTTTAATGTAGTGCTGGTGATTTTAAAGTATACATGAAACCGTATTACTTCATATTGCTACATCACCTAATAAACACTAATTACCTCCTAGATGGTGTTCAGGAAGTGGCTTACGTTCACTCAAACCAGAACGTGATTGGATCGAGCAAAGCTGAAAACCACATGAGCCGATGGGCAGCACATGATGTATTTGAGTTGCAACAATTTTCCCAGCTTCCTGCTAACATTGCTGTGTGCAATTCTAAGGTAAGAAGAATATAGGATAATACTATTTACCCTATATTTAATTTTAATCTTATTTTTCACAGAAGTTGCTCAATAGGAACTTCCCTAAGCACTGTAGTCCCTCAAAAGTAGCTACTAAAGCTGGCATATAAGTAATTGTAAAACACAAAACACCCTTTGGCGAACTGTAGTCACTGATGATGTTTTGGATTAAATGAATGATCTAGATCTCAGAATGTCTATAATATTGAGTTGCTTAATAATTTTTCTGAAAAAAAGTACCTGTACCTCCCTCCAAATGCAAAAGAATCTGAAGGAACTAAAAAGTTAAATCAGAAACAGAACTTCTGCTCATCTCATGTGGAAAAAGATATATGATTAGATTTCCAGAAAAATTTTTATCTAAAATGAAGACAAAGTGTGAACGTGGGTGACAGTAGTGAATTTGAAGTCTTGAAAACTTTCAAAAAATTTTTGTGAGAAGAAAACAAAATAAAGGAGAAAGGAAATGAATCAAGAGCAAAAGAGATCAGTCATAGTGTTAGAAGATAACCTGTTGTTCCTAAAGTCTCCCCAAAAACCCCAGACCACCTGCCTACAGTATTGTATCTTTCATCTGGGGCTCAAATCCAGAATCTTTCTGATTACCAGGAATTCTTCTGGGTACTTCATGTCTGTCATCCATGTTTCATTAAAGAACTTTGCCTATGTTTGAAAACAGTGTGTGCATATGAACACATGGGTGTGTTTGTGTCGACAGCCTTTTCAGGAACACCAGATGACTTCTGTACAGATATATGTATGTGAAGCCAACACATAAGTAACAGTGAACACTGCATGCCAGTAAGTCACCTTCTGAGGTATACTGTAGGTGAGTCTAGGTTAGAGCCTTTAATGAGTTCACAAAACAATATCCATGCTAACTGGAAAACTTGCAAAAGAGAAGTAATGGACACCATAGTACTAGATAAAATCTTTTATGATTTAGAGTTTCTCAATCTTTTGATAAAATTTTTGATAAGCAGTATGGCAAAAACTAGGAATCTGCATTTCAAATTCATCCATGTATTTAGGAAAGGCCTAATATATACTATTTTTTCCATGTCTCATTTGGTTTATTATAGTTTGTATTCTTATAAGTTAAGTTAATTGCTATTTATAGAGTATTTTATAGATGTCCTATAGATGTCCATCTCTCCTAAAATTAATTTCTAATTACACCTTTGTTATTTTATAACACGAACTATATAAAGTAATGTGCCCAATAAGAACATGTTTTGCTTTAAATTATACTTGAATATTGCAAAACCATTTGAAAATAGCTTATTTACAAAGATATGATGTCTGGAGGGAAAAACTTACGTATGTCTTAGGTTTAAGCTCAGACCACAACGAAATGCTTTAAGAATTTGAAGGAACTGATAATACCTTTATTGGGGTTAATTTGTTCTTATATGGAAGTATGTCACAAAATTTAACTGTATCTGTTTGTGATGAGGTGCCTCTTTTCTTTTTTCAATCAACTGTATGTTTTCAACTTAAGTTTACTTAAAGCTTTTTGAAAAGAAATGTACAAAGACAGCATTCAATTACGGATTAATCACTATGGGAACTGAAATGTGGTGACTGAGAGGGAGGATGTATTCTCCCCTCAGTTTCCTGCCAGCTGTCATAATCAACCTCTACTGCCTGAATCCAAGCCAAAATATAGACTGTGACCAACTCTTAAGAAACTATATCTGTATTTTTATAAATTGGTACAAGTATCAGACTATAAAAGAAGACTTAATCCTCTGAGTTGGATGACAGACACTTGGCACTCTTGCCAGTGTTTGACAGAGAAATAACGGGCCGCTTTGTAGTAAAACCTGGATTAATAGTAAACCCTTCTTTATGTTACTGCAGTGTGGTGTAAATGAGAGAACTAAGCGAGCTGTCAGCCTGGGCTGGGAGGCAATCTGGGGGGGAGTGACTTTTTTACAATCAGTGCAGGTTTAAGCACTATTCAGAATACTGTAAATACAGAATGTTGTGTTAGCAAGAACTTTTTTTTCTTGTATTTGTATTAGATTGGCATTTTATAGATTACTTAAAGCAAGGATTTCTATGAGATGTAGTAGATTGGATTGCAGTATGTTTATACAGCTCTTGGAGTCAGCAAGGAGGGATGGACTGTTTATGATGAGCAGACTTTGGAGCAATAGAGCATTCCATTATCCTGTTTTTCAGGATAATGAATGGCATGAGGGTTTAAAGTGATTGTTCACAAATGACTGGTTTATAAAGTAGTCCTGTAAGTGAGGTTTATGGGTTTCACTATGTAGCAGAAATAATTCTTACTGGGTGGTATTTTTTACAATCTTATCATTTGTTCTCCTCTAGCTAGTTATTAACTTTATGTTATTTGCATCATAAAATTATTTCATGTAATTTTAACAGTGATTAAGATTTGTAACATTGTTATATGAGTATGCATGAAATTATGTGACTAGAATTCTCATGAAAAATGCTTTTGTGTTTCTATCCCTAGACCTAAGATTGATTGTACCTGGTGTTTGTTTCAGTAAGATAGTGTGCCATTTGAGTAAAAAATACGTATTACTGGCAAGAGGTAGGAAAACCTAGCATCACCTGTAAACATGTATACTTGTACCCCTCTGAGCTAGAGGCCACAAGAAGCCATGGTGTCCTTCCCCACAGTGATGTTAACAGGATTCATAGACCAGTGTAGTTAGTAACTGATAACCTGATATGTGCAAAGCACATTCGACTCTTTGCAAAAAAAAAAAGTGTTGAAATTATTTATTAAAACAGTAATATGAATTTTTATTGTCACAATTATGATTATTGCTTACCAATGGGGTAATGAATAACATTCTTTAAGTCTATACCATGCCTTATTATTATTTTTCTTGCTAATAGTACCAATAGTAGACTATTTTAGTATTCCTTAAAATGTAGCAAGTCTAGTCCTCTAATTTAATTGATGATATGCCTTAATCTGTAGCTAGTTTCCCATGAAGAATGTTATTAAAAATGTGTTTGAAAGGAATTATAATCTAATCTTAACAGTTCTCTAGATTGACAAAAATTATCTTTACTTTCTAGGAAATGATATGATTCTTCTCCTGGCTAGTTATTGTTCCAAATGCATAAAAGATAGATATGGCTTCTTTAAATAATTTCTCAATTTAGAATAGTTCAAAGATTCTAAATATGTTTAAAATGCTATTCCTTCAAATAATGCCTTTTAGGTAATATTTTATAAGTTGAAAGGAAGTCTCATGGAACTCTGAATGACTTGAAGAACATTAAGCACTTAACAGCCCTTTTCAGATTATATTTTTACCCCTCTCAAAGCCATGGTACTACTAATTAGATGTGGCCACTTGGTGGGAATACCTATTACCTTGCTGTCTGAGAAGCTGCCTCTGCACATGTGAATCCTGGCTTTGTGTAGGATGAGTAAAGCAAAGTTAGGAGATATGAATCATCTTGTTGCAGAAGCAGAAGGCTTCTTGGAGACTATTTAACCCAAATATCTCATTTCACTCACTTTTTAAAATGAGAGGCTAAATGATTCCCTCAGAGCCCAGGGATCAGCGGTGGCAGTCAACTTTCATTCTTGCTGTCTTCCTAGCCTATGTCTTCTATCTGCTTTTCCCTTGGCTCCTTTGGTCTCTGTTTGAAGATTTCAGATTTACTTTCCCAGTATAATAAATCAGTCTTTTAATTTTCCAAGATACCTAGTCTGTGAAGAATTTCCTTTACTTTAGCAGTTAGACAAAAATAGATAAATAAAAAATACATAAATAAAATCAGGTGAGTTGAATGCATCTTTCTCTTTAGAAAATATATTTTTCAGATAGTTAAGCTCTTTCTATCTGGTCTAAAGAAAAACAGTCAATATCTGTCACAGTTTTTTAGGGCAGTATCTACTCTATCAAAGATGTTTTGGCAAAGGCATAATTTTTCACTTTTTTCCTTTACTTATTTTGGTGTTTAATCTTGGTTGTCAGTACAGACTGGATTGAGAGAGATCTAGAAAATTGGTAAAGCACACTTTTTGTTGTGTCTGTGAGTTTGCCTTCAGAGATGATTGACATGTGGGTCAGCCAACTAAGTGAGGAAGATCCACCAGGAACTGGATGGCACCTTCCAGTAGGCCAAACTCAGATGGAACAGAAAGAGGCAGAAACAGGAAACTCAACTTAGTACATGTTACACCCATTTTGAGCAAGTGAGGTTTTTTGCTGCTATTTTTACAGATTCTAGATTCTTCAGTCTTTGAACATAGACTTGAACCAGTAACTCACCAGGGACCTTCCAAGTCTTCAGCCTCAGATTGAGGCTGCAATCGTTGGTCCCTCTTGTTCTGGGGCTTCCAACTTCTTGGACTGAGCAGCAACTGGTTTCTCCAGCTTCCAACACACAGCCAGCCGTATGGGACCATTGAGCTTCTAATCACGTAACACGATCTAAATCCTTTTACAATTATGTTCATGCTCTTCCTCTGGAGAATCCTAAGTACCCTTATCCTTTGTCTGTACTTAGAATACCTTCAGCTTTACATTAATAATCTCCCAAACCTCTAAACCTCTCTGCCTTTCAAGATCTACCTCAACTGTGTCATCTTTTCCACAAAGACTGCCTTGATTCCTCCCTTGACTGGAAGTAAGCTACCATTCCTCATACTTTTACTCCTTCACTCACTACTACTTTATATGGCTCCTTCTTGTTCTGAGGTATGGCTTGAATTTTTGTTATAGTTATATAAATTTCTTTCTCTTTTAATAAACCCTGAGTTTTGAAATAGTACACTATGTCTCTGATTCTCCTTTGATAACTGAAAATAACATCTTATATATACTGTAGTTAGGACTTTTTAAAAACAAATTTAAGTATTTAGTCATTGTCAGAGTACAGCATACCCAACTATCATGTTCTGAGAATTTTTAAGCAGTTTAAATTATCTTTTCCATGAACAGCTTTTGAAGTTGTCCTGGAAATGATATTATACA